AAAAGGATGCATTGAGAGATATAAGCAAAATTGATATGTTGGTGTCGATGAATCATCCTTCTTCACGCCGATTGGCATCAATTGGAGATTTTATTCAAGTAACGATAACACAAATAATTATTTTTCCTGCCTTTTGGTTTCCATTGTCTGTATAAATAAAAAAATTGTTATCAATAAATTATCGAGGTAAATCAAATATTTATCAGTAATTTGTGATATGTTCTTATTGGAATATGTTTTTCATATTAGTATTAAGAAAAGTGAAAGTGGTCCTTGACAATCTAGTTTCGATAATTATGGGCGTTTCTATATTTGGGACATAATTTTCGGTGTTATTTCCAAGGTTCTAAAAAGTTTGTCATAGCTCTACCATGGCGCACTACGACTCCAAGGCTTGCACATGTCACCAAGCTTTACCAAAGCGCGACCTTAACTCATATATGTGTATAAAAATGAATAATATTTGAAAATACTTCCAAAAATATTAATTATATAGAAAATTTCCGCCTTAAGTCATGCATAACAAATGCCGTGACTCGCCAAGGCTCGGAAAATCTTGAGGTCTGACATTGCCGTCAAGTTACACTTTACGTTATTTAGAACCTTGGTTATTCCCTATTTATTCTTCATAGGTATTTTATGGGCACATGATCGATTGGTGGTTTTAATTGGACGTTAATACTTAATATATTCCCAAAATGTCTATTTCACTATATGTGTTCCAAGTCATATTTCATATTTTAGTCTAAAAGTTTGGTTTAGACTCATCTAGATATGAAATTGCTTAACCATTTAGGTGATATTTATTTTTTCGAAGCCAAAATGTCTGAAGTCTGCGAACCATCCCTGCAACCCACAGTAGCAGAAGAAGGGGATTAAATGACTGCAACATGTAATAAAAAATTTGTTTTTTAACCTCTGCAGACTGCTGCAATAAATTAAAATAAGGTGCGAATAGGTTTGAAGCGGAGCGTCAAGTGTTGCGTCACGCAGCATACACACAACAATTTTTAAGTCGGAAGTCTTCTGGAAAACAAACAGCTACGAAGGGCCAAGTGTTGCGTGTGTGCTGCGCGACACTGCAATAAGTGGTTGGAAGATGTTTTTTAGAAAAAAACAAACAACACCTTATTATCGGTGTAGGGAATAAGCAAGCATTTTTATTGGGTAATGCATGTATAAATTACCACTTTTTAACTATAATTTTGTTATTGATAATAGAAAAGTACTTACAATCGTTTACTCCCTCTTTTCGTTTTCATTGTGTGGCATGTGTTTAATTTCAACTTTTTTAGATAAAAGATTTGGAATGTTTAACGAGAAGATAATTACTAGATCATCCAAGCGGAGTAGAATTTGAGAATAACAAGATTGACGTTTGATGTTCTAATATTGTAACACTCCAAGTTTCACCCCAAATTTACAATTAAAACTTTAACTGTTTATTCAAATCACAACTACAAGATCTTAAAACATTTATCAGAGTATCCCCCCCCCCCCCCCCCCCCCCCCCAATTGATGCGACGCAATCGAGCCGTGCCTCTCCTTTAATATAAGAAAACCTGAAACATGTAAACCACAATTCATAAGCACGAGGCAGGGCCGTTCCAAACATATTTTGGTACCTAGGCGAAAGAAAAAAAAAATAGGCTCTGAAAATAAACAAATGTCATCAAATTTTCTTATAATAACCAATATTTGAAAGAAAATTACTTTTCCTATCTTCTAAATATAACAATTTCCATAAATAGAATTGGACCCTTTTAAAAGATAGGTCCTGGACGGTCTTCACTGTCACCCACCCTCAGGGACTGACACGAGGTTTAGTGAGTTCGCAAAAATACCACACACAACACAACACAGATAAACAACTATGGTTATCAACAACCTTGGGGACTATCAGAATTCCTAGTGGGCAAATAACGTGCCCGGTGGGTTATCAATAACCCTGGAGACTATATGCAGTCTCAGTTAGGGATGAGAGTTGGTCCAAATCCGGACCGGTAGACCCAGATCCGGAAAACCCGGGAACTGGTTAACGGGATTTGTAGGACCGGAAACCGGACCGGTATATACTA